GTGGGAGTGCTTCTGATTTTTTGAGCTTTGCCAACTCCTCGGATGGAAATGTCATATCCTTAATTAATTTGTTCGTTGTTCTTAGTATCCGTGCCATCGGATCCCGTATCAACTTCTTGTACGTTGACGGGGTCAAAGGTTCTTTAATGTTGTCTTCGTAGTTCAATGAAGACATGACCACAGTTGCATTGACCTTATCAGCTGGCAACACTAGAATCTCCTTATCCTCATTCAGCGTTTTCAGGGCTTTTCTTTCACTGAAAGTGAGGTTGCTCTTCGGAGGCTTTGAGCGTACGTATGCCACTCTCTACATTTGATATGATGTCCTCTACTGATAACCTGGACGGTACTATGGCAAAGTTTCCTCCCTTGGCCAGCACGCTCTGTTCGTCAGCAGTAAGTTCCTTGCTGGTCACTTGTTGGTCAAATGTTCTGTAACGGCATAAAACGGGAATTTTAAAAATAATTGTTCTAATTAGTACGCTGCCTGCCATCAAAAACATGTAAGCAATAGTTCTATTGAAAGACAGTGATTTCTGCAAATTTTAATTCTTCTATCCCAGTGTAATTTGAAGAAATTCATCATTTCGAAATTTTCAAATTGAACTTCAACACTTTTTATCCCGTAATGAAACTGTTTTCAAATTGAAAAAAGTAGGTAAAAATATCTATTTCTTATGAAATACCTTGTATGAACGTGAATCTGCTAATCTAAAACATAATTTTCGTAATATGATTATTTCTTGTTCAGTTCTCGTTTATTTGGTCGGTTGCATAGAATTTAAGATAGTTTAATAAAAAAAAACTCTTTGCCATCACAATAATTGTCCTGCGGTCAATTCCAGGAGGAAATTCAGAAACTTGCGGCCCAAATCGAATTCATGAAAATTGTCCACATGGAAATGAACAATCGTCATATCAAGCCCAAGCCTGGCGGTTATTTTACGGCGTTAAATGCGCCTATAGCCGTTCAGAGCCCATTGAGCAAACAGGGAATAACAAACAAACCGACCGAAGAACTGTGACAAAAAGCCTCTGACACGCCGCTTCATGCAAGTGGTACGAATGAAGCAGATACGTCATCTAATACTGCAAGTACTTCTCGAAGAAGAAGTTGCAAGGAGTGGTTGAGAATGGAGTCTGTGTTAAAGCAGACGGGAGACTCTGTTGTTGTTGTGTAAATGATACAGACCCCGACAAAGATCGTACCTACTGTTATGGTATTGCTAAAATGATAAATTCTACTAGGTCTTTTTCCGGTAGAAGACTTATTTTTGTATTCAATATTAACAACATCTGTCTAGAAAAAGAAGACCTACTCGAAACAAGACCCTAATCTTATTTCTCCGGTTGTCTCTAAGAAATTAGTCTCAATAGGAAATAGAACTTTCTTCGGACGACTTGGTTTTAGCAGGTATACGTATGCAAATTTTGACAATAAACGCAAATACTAAGAAAGATACACGTATCTATAAGAGAACTATTAGATTTCGTTTTAAAAATGTCAATTACTAAAGACGTAATAGCAGATGATATATTTGCATTGTCGTATTAATTTGGTCCTCAGGGTCTTTTTCAATTATTTATTGCATTTTCCATATGCACTAAAACATCGGAAAAGCAATATGCTGTAAATAAAAGCGCAGCTGTTCATATTCATTGACGACATCTATCAATGTTAGATTAAGCTAGATAATTTTAGTCTAGCTTAATTAATAAGGTATATTAGCGAATAATATTTTAACTTATATAGGAAATATTGAAATGTGTAAAATTATAACTGTCGTAAAGCTAAAAGCTTCTAAACTAGGTAATAATGAAATACTAGCAAGAATTGGATATTTAATTAGGATATTCAATCTGACTTATACTCATTTGTAGATGCCCAAGTGCGTGATTTGATTGTATATTTTGATAAGTGTAAATATTTCGATCCTCATACCAGTTCTTGCATGCCATGTATATTCGGATGTCCAGTAAATGAGCAGATTAAGGGTAAGTAAGTAAGTTACCGTATTACATTTTATTTAATTGATTAGTTTTATATTGCTCTACGAAATCTGAAAATCCTTATATTAAGTGGTAATAATAATTGTATAACATTTAATGGAAATACGGTATGTTAAGTTTTTATATATTTTTTCTATAGAATAGGAACGCCTTCCCCTACTATGGGTATCTGTGTCGTATTCTGTCAGCATACTGTAATCATATTTAAAATTCCCTTATTATACGAACTAACCGGTTCGATCACAAAAATGCCTTTATCTGCGATTATTTAGAAATGTAAATTTCACAGTTCCATAAACAAAGTTTACAGAATCCCCATTACTGCACTAGTGAATTAATCAAAAGGTATATATTTTTAGGCTGGTTTGACAGTTAATTTAACTTAAAAGCAGGTACATTTTCACTTAAAATTTAGCATTTAGTCTAGTAAATTTCACACTGTTTTCTTAAATACGAAGGAAATTATACAGTGATTTAAAGGATTATACAGTGCTTTTACAGTGAAATGAAGCAGTCGTTTAAAATTTAGATGAACTTTATCAGTACTTTTAAGCGAAACAATGAGTACTTTTAAGTGCAAATATTTTCCAACGACAACTTTAATTCTTTTATGAATATGTAGATGATATGATAAGTTTTGGTTACCTTTTTTATATCGACTCATTGCTTGTTTCATCTAAAAGCATAGTAAATCACATACACTTTTTATAATAAATTAATACAATTTAACATTTATTTAAGAATGGTTGGATGTCTTGTTCATTTACTTACAGATGTGAAAAATATTACAGATTTTCCAAGTAAGCGATTCTTTATAAAGTTGCTAGTTCCATTTTAAACATTTTTTTTAATTTTGTAAATTATTTGTGTTCCTATGTTGCATATTACTGCATTTAAATATTCCACTTGAACGGTCGGTAACTGGAGTTGTATTCGTTGTTTTTACAATACATATGCTAAATTGCCATGTTAGTTAATTTTAGGGACAATTTTTCACCCTTTTAATAAAAAAAACTACTCGTCCATAATCCGGATTGGAAACAGCAAAACTTGTGTGAAAAACCATGTACTAATTTTGTACATGTACTTGCCGTTTTGTTTGTAGGCACTCAATAACCAATAATTTTGGTTTTAATAATGTAAATATTTTTAAATTGTATGTAAATTAAATTTGTAAAAATTTATATTCTATGAAAAACTTTTAAAACAAAGCGGTAAATCACTATATTCAAACAATTGTCCGCTTAATGTATTGTCCAACATTTGTAATAGCGCCAATAGACTCGTACCAAAGTTGATCAATCATATGGGTGGGTAAACGCACTGGTGCACTAATGTAGAAACATTTTTACATCTGTGCTAGACTTCGAAGCATTAGTTGAAAATAGTTAATTTTTTTATTTTGGTATTTAATTAAGTAACGCTCCAAGGAGGATATGCAAATTGCTATAGGTAATATGTATAATCTGTGTGGTGAGAGTAGGTACGTAAAACTTGCTCTTATTAAAGTTTGTATAAAGTCCGTTATACAAACTTTTCTATCTCTATCTAGGTGGTAAATTTGTTATGAATGTATAGATGTTGAAGCATATAAATGCAAAAATCGTGTATTAAACATGTGACTGTTTTAAAAGTTTGTACATGCTTCTGTTTCCCCAAGATGTGCTACATAATCGTAATCAATTAATTGATCCGATTTCCGTATCATAAGTATATGTTAGTGAAACTTATACTGATACCTCACAACAGAATATTTTTATTGATATTTCTTATACCAAATAATCTATATATGTGAATGTTACAAACTAAGACAAATTGTTTATTCATACTTATTATGTTGTTAATAAATGTGTTTTCGTAACGCATTTACTTTTATCGCTGGATGGGCCCCATTAAGTGAAATCATGTTTGCACGAGGCAATATTGTTTGAGTATTGTTTTTATTTCCAGAACGTAAAAATGTTGTTCGCTCCAATTCTAATCGCTCTGTTTATGTTGAGGGAAATCTTCAAAAATATTGTTTTCTTATCGACATTTCATTAAAGATTTACAGTTTTTTCAATAGGTAGCATAATACCAGTTCTTTTAATATGCACAACAAAAATTATATAGGTTTATTCACACAAAAAACCTCATTCACACAAATGAAGACCTCATGCGTTCATTACTAAAAATTTCTGGAAAAATTGTCACGAGCTTTAAGATTTGAAAAACTTGAAAAATATTTAAAACTGGTTTGTTCAGATTTGTTTAGTTTGTTGATTTTTAGACCATTTTTTTCTCCATTTCTAAGGTCTATTTGGGATTGATTACCTACTCAGCGTCAAAAAGTTTAATCGTACCCAGATAGCATTTGATATTCTATGAATATTCCAGAATGTTCAAAAATATATACAGAACATTGCGGGAATATCCTGGGAATATTATACATAGGTGAACATTCCTAACATGAATGTTCGTGGAATATACATGCATGTATATTCATCAAAGTTCATAAAAAGTATATCGTAGGTATGTACATATATGTACATATTGGGTATATGTGCAGATGAACATGCCAGGTATGTACATATTGCGTATATGTGCAAGTGAATATATCTAGTATGTTGAAAACAAATCTTCCGGTAATATACATTAATGTATATATACGGTATATTCCAAATTGGTTGAATATAAATTTTGCGTGCCCGCAGCAGAAAAGTAAGGGCATGTAAAAGTAAATCTTCTTACTACTACTTAGATTCGCTGAACAAAATAAATGTCTGTTTTTTATAATACCTAAATCTTAGGGTTTTTTAAATAATACGAATTTAATCAAAATCTGATCTAATTTTTACGTGTCAAATACTTTAGAAGTATTTAAGTTATGTAAGCGTAATTTATAGTGAAGTGTAACAAGATATAATATTTTATATCCCAATGATAATAAACTTACCATGTTGTACAGGGTGTCCACAAATTTGAACTAATCAAATAAGAAATCTAAGTGGCTCTAACTTGATTAATTTAAATACAACCCCATATTTTTTAACTTACCAGGAAATGAAATTTTTAATTACCTATCGAATGGTATTAGGATGTTAATAGCTAAGTTTTTGCCTTTTTACAAAATACGTCAAATAGTCGTTCTGTGCACCATTTGGTGATGTTTAATTTAAGGTTCCAATGTATCTAAGTTGGTTATGCCATTTACACATGTCAAATCATTTATTTTATTTGTTAGTTTAGACTGCAAAGTCTTTTTGATATATATTGAGTGGTATTGTTTTTTGTAATTGTAGACGTGTTGGTCGTTATTTTAATATTATTATTGTGTTGCTAGTTTAAAATGAGGAATTATCCAAGAGAAG